AATCAGTCGATTGCAGACAATACAGTGCCTTGGTGGGAAAGGAAAAATGCCCGAATTACTGAAATTGAAGCTGGTGATGAAGCGAGATTTGGATCTTCCAATGTAGTTAATAATGAGCGACCAGTTCCACGGTCGTGGGTTCCTCCCCAGCCACCACCTGTTTCTATGCAAGAAGCAGCTGCAGCCATTCGTCAGCCAAAGAAGACATTCTCTTCAAAAGAACAATTGACTGATGACCAATTGCTAGCTCGTTCTTCAGACGTACCAGATGAGCTGCAGAGGATCACAAGAATCTCTGAATCAGGCGGCGTAGTGGAAGCCAATGGAGAAAGTTTGGGGCCTCACTCAAGTGAGATACAAAGAGAGGAGGACAACTCGTATTTTGAAACATGATTAACAGAGGAGCCGAGGAGGACTGATTCGGGCACGTCACTTGATAACAAATTTCAGCAATAATCGAAGAGAACACGAAGAAAATGATATTGTCAGTGTGTACATTTGAACTTGTTTTATTGGGTAAGATCAAATACACTATTGAGGTGATCTACAGTAACTTGAGATTATATATTATGGTAAAATAAGTTGATTATTTAACCTGTCTCTTATCTTGAATCTTTGTTTCTTATCCAAGACTTGTTTGGCTGAGCCTAAAGAATAAGTTTTTTCATTTAAGTAATTCATTTCGGACTTTCACCCGGAAGAAAAAATGAGAAAAAGTATAACCAAACACGTTCAGATGGTAAATGTGTGTATACTCTGTGTGTAAGATGGATTGAGTCTGATGTTCTGCATGTTGGAGGGTTGGTACGGGCCCGTCTATCCAAAGAATGAGAATCGGGGCTGTTGTCTAGTATTTTCACTCGAGATTGATGGCAACTCAACTACAATGATACTTTTTCGTCGTCTTTTTCAATTCAACACTAAACTTAGCTCAAAGAGTTGATATCTTTGCAATTACACCAACATACTCTACTTATTTATTCATTAATCACTAACATGTGAAGAAAAGAGATTCCTTCACGGTACTTCCATCGACAAAATTCATTTTAGGTGTTTTTCATGTGGGTCCCATTTATTTCATCGTTATTTTCAACTTTGTACGAAATTAGTTACATGGAGACTTGGTGGCATGGTGAAACAAATTAAAGTTAGATGGTACGATGATACTGAGCTCATGTTTGGCTTATTTAAAAATAAAAAAAATTGAGAAAAATAGAAGTAAAATCAAAAATTAATTTTAACCACATTTTACGATATTCATAATTTTTATCAATTTGTAACATAGATCAAGTGAAAATTTCAACGGTCCAGTGAAATTAATCCTTTCCAAACATCTATGTTCGATCAGCTTTAAAAAATTTGAATTATTTTATCATATGGCCTAATAAAGGTGCGCGCATTTGACCGACCACGTTCCCCACCGAATACAAAGCATACACGTTTAGCTTATATATTATATAATTAACATTAAATTATTAGAGTCTTGCTACCGAATGGGGCTTCACAGAAGCCTACATATCACACACATGGGGGGGGGGGGGGGGGNNNGGGGGGGGGGGGGGGGGGGTAGGAAAATTTTGAACCAATTTTTAATCACGTGAGTCCCGCATCAGGACCCACCTCATGTGAGGGTCGATAAGCCTTCTGTGAACTGATCCTCTGTACATATAGATTAATCCAAATTATTATGACCACAATTGTACTATAATAATTAATTAAATAGGTTAACCATCCTATCTACTATCTTAAAAATACATGTATTTGTTTAAAAGTTATTATTGACAAAATAAGTTGCAAAAGAGACCATATCATCTTTCACTAAATTATTAGCTTATTTAGGGTTATTTATTTATTACAATTTTACTAAATTGTGAGAGGAATTAAACTGCTTGTACAATGATTTTGTACAAGTAGTTTGACAATACACGAGGTGAAACCGTGCAAATATTAAAACCATGAACAAATCAATGGTCAAATTGCTTGTCAACTCATGGATTATCAAATTAATTGTACATGTAGCAAAATTGTTACGAGAGAGACCAAATCACCTTGATCCGAATAAACGTCATTGAACGACATTTTAAGTTATATTTGTTACTAAGACTATGTCTGGAGGCAATTAATTGACAGATTTTAATTGAAATCTCAACCGTTGCACACACTTATAGCCGCAACATTTGACCACACGTGAGAGGTGTGGGGGCCATCAATTGAAAAAAGGGCAAACATGTGCTACTAATTTGGATAAAATCAATGCCAGACACACCTTAAGTAACCTTAAGTAAGTGCATAATACTAATTAAATAATATATTAGATGGGAGCCAAGTAACATACACATTCAAAGAGAAGTGGCTAATTCCCTACTAATCTATTTCCCCAACTTCATTCCATTTTTCTTCCCATGGCTGGTTGCAAGTATAAAACGAGTTGAGTAAAAGGCAAGTTCACCCAAACTCATAATTTATGTCGAATCAGTCAAGTTGGCTATAAAAAAGTGTTGGACACGCTCTACAAAACACGAAGTCGTGTAGGTCATCGAATCCAACATATCTTTAAATTCTTCTCTTTTCTCTTTTTGTTAAATTTCACTAAAAAGGAAAAACAAAGAAGTTTGTGTAAGTCAATTCGCATGCCATAGGTTTAGAGAGGAGCTAGTAAAATTAAATCTACTCTATAAACAAATCGATCTTCGAACTATCTTTGCACGCGCTCATTTAAGGAACGAAGTGAATGGAATTGATAGAATTGGCCAACTTCACACAAAAAACTTTTATATCGAGATGACATTGTGAGATTGAAACATAGGTCATGATTCTAGGGGATGGTAAACGAGTTCGTCTGCTTGGGCGCCTTGCAACTCAACCCGAAAAGTCTAGAACCTAGGCCGGCCTGTGTGGCTCTGTTGCACGAGCTGACTCGTGAAAATGGCCCGTGTCATCAACTCGGCCTACCTCGTTGCCAATTTTCAATTTTTTTTTGTTTTATTAATATTAAATTTATGATTCAAATCAATAAAGAATAACTTATGCATACATAATTAATATTCATAATTATGTTACAACTATCTATATTTATAATTTATTATCATATTTATTAGTATTCCCGTTATAGTTTATTGATATAAATTTTAAATGTTATTATATAAAAGTTAATATAATATTATTTGTTATCTTGTAGTGCTGAAACTTAAAAGACATTTTCTATTTCAATATTTTTAATTCTACAATATTAGGATATTTATAAACCTAACAATTGTATTCTAATTCATATATTTTCGAAACTGTATGAATATATTTTTTTTTTTTTAGTTGTATTTTAATCGAGATGAAGAATTTGATGGAATTGTTTACATGAATTTTTTTTTAAACAAAAAAATTCGTGAGTAGGCCCGGCCAGCTCAGTGAAGCCCGAGTCAAGCCTCCAAATTTCGGCCGGGCTTTGGCTCGCAAGCCCCGACTCGTTAACATCTCTACGTGATTCCTTAAGAGGATCATTCATTAGGGACCATTTGTATAAATAAGACACAAAGTCATCACTAAATAAAATAAAATGATGAACAATTGATTGTGATACGCTATTTTCTTGATTTTAAGGTTGCATCTCGTGACAAAATCACAAATTAATCCACGTCTCTCCATGCACATGCATATCTATCCATATCATCTATCTTTTCTCCATCCAAAATCTCACAGAAAGTTTATTCTTGTAAGTTTATTCTTGTACCTCGCACTGTGAAGATTCCACACTCACTTTTAAGTAACGCAAACATTTCATTATCAAATTTCAATAAACAGAGAAGGGAGTCTTTGACTGGTGGTAGTGTGATACTCCATGACCCTGAATTTACGCTCTCCGATAGAAATCAAGTCCCTCTCTTTCCTCGACATCTCTAAATCCAATAACAACCTTAATCTCCTCAAATTCCAAGGTTATATCTTTTCTTGATTTATTATGTTCTTGGCTAAGTTAAATTGTTGGGTAGAATTTTGTGTCTGTATGCCAGGATAGAAATTGATTTTTTTTTTGCACCTAATTTCTTCTTATATAGCTGTAATTTTTAATTCGGTTTCTTGTTTTTTTCCTGGGCTGTCTATTATAATTTGTATTCGAATTGAAATATGAGTTTATTTTATTTTTTCTCTGGTGAAGGTCGGTTAAGTTGAGTTCGGTGCAACTTGGTGTGCAAACCAAGTTTCTATATATCATGAAATAAGCGAGATTGCTTTTCTTCATTATTGCCACCACCGCCATATCAGACAAGGCTGGTATTGATATTTTCACTCTTGCATGATTCAAACAATTCACTCGGGTTTTGACATGTAAATTAAAGAAACTCTACAAATTATAACCACATTGGTTCTACAACCGCCACCGTCTTTTGCATGCATTACGACTATGATCTCTTGCTGTTTTCATCTCACCACCCACCTCTCATCAGACTACGTCACTACTTTGCTATTATTTTTATGAAGAAGAAAAATATGAGAATTAGTTGGAAGAGTGTGTTTTTTCCATTTCAAAAATTTCCAATTGCATTGTTGCAAATGCAACCTGCTGATTCTTTCAGGTTATGAATATGTTCGTGGTAGTGCTTTTTAGTAATTTTTCCAGCGACATTATATCAATTTGAAGACATACTTTCAAAAGCATTTTGGTTGAGAAATTGTGTACTAACTCATCTTACTCCATCAAGAATACTAGTATATGAAATTTTCTTATCATCAGGGAAAAAAAATTCATACATTTTACTCTAATTTAAGTCCGTGCCAACTGCATGACTTCAGTTTGTAAGCTAAATTGATATAGAACTTGCTTGGCTAAGCTTAAAATTTACATTTAATTAACCTTTTTTGCTAAAAATATTTGAACTTTATTAGATTTTTTTTAAAAACTTGTTAAAATGTCTTTACTGAAAACTTAATTAAAAGTAAGCCTTTACTTTCCACAAAAACTACTTTTACCTTCTTTTTAATCTTAGCCAAACACAGGATACCCCATTATGCAGGTGAGGCGATTCAAACCTCAATTAGTTGCCGTTAGAAATGAGTCATTAGTCGGTGAACTCAAGGATGCTTTAGCGGATGTGGAAGAAAAGTCAGAAATGATTCCTGGAGAGCAAGGGGTTATCGAGGTCAGCTATCAATTGTCTCAGTAGCTTATTATTTAGCGGGTAGATATTGATCTGACTCTTACTCATTGGTTACTGATATTTGTGTTCAAGGTTGCCCGCCACCCTGACGCTGTCACAGTAGTTACAGGAATAGTTGGGTGTGCAGGTTTGAAGTTAACTATATTTTCTTTCCTTGAATTTTATACGTAATATTTTTTGGTATACTCAGCTAGCTTATCTGAAGGACATGAATATGTGTAAATCAACATGTTTTGAAGCACACGTAACCTTATTTTGCTGATATTATTACCGGAATTTGATATTGCGTCGTTCATAGCATTACGTTACCTTCCATACTCATTGCAGGTTTGTTCTAGTAACTACCCATTTAGCTTACCATATATTTGGAAAACCCTCAGCCAAATGAGTATTTTATACAGAAACTGGAATTCTATTAAAAACGGCCGTTTTGATCATTTGAAACAATTTCATTGAATTTAGTAGATCATTTTAGGAAGCCCTAATCTAACAGCATATTACAGGTTTATATACACATTTGTACACTTCCGTGTTTATGCAGACCAAATACATACGGGGTTGAAAGTCTCTTGCATAGATCGGTTCAGCTAGGCAATGTTCATGCTTATGTTGATACGAAACATTCAGAATGTTCACATCATTTTCTTGATGTAATTAAAGATTTTTCAAAAGAAAATAGTCAATACTAGTTATTACTTCTGCTGCTGTCGTTTCTCACGTTCCTTTCCAAAGTGCAAAGTTCGTAAATTAATCATTAAGAAATTTCTCTCGAATCTTTACGTGTATATTATCTTTTTAGCCTACAGTAGCTGCCATAGAAGCAGGAAAAGACATTGCCTTGGACATTAAAGAGACGCTAATTGCTGGAGGTCCTTTTGTACTTCCTCTTGCACACAAGCATAAAGTAAAAATTCTTCCTGCAGATTCCGAACATTCAGCTATATATAAAGAGACGCTAATTGCTGGAGGTCCATTTGTACTTCCTCTTGCACACAAGCATAAAGTAAAAATTCTTCCTGCAGATTCCGAACATTCAGCTATATTTCAGGTATAACTAATTAGTTAGCATGTCCTAGGAATTCTATTATGATAGTTGTATATATTATTTGCTCGTTTTTCTAATTCTTTTTTCGTTCATTATTGCTCTTGAAGTTCGGGATTAAAGGTTAATCTATAACATCCTCTGCTCTTCCAATTGCTAAGAAGTATCTGTTTGGTCTTCACTGTATACGAGGCTTGTCGGAGGGTGCTCTCAGGGGCATTATTTTGACTGCATCAGGTGGTGCTTTTAGGTATGAACATCTTAAGTTTATTGTTGACATTTATAATTATTCTTATACTTCCTCAGTAATTTTCTTCTGTTTTATTAAGACCAATAGATAGCTTATAGTTCCAGCTGGCAGGGAATCTTATTTGTTATATTACCAACTGATTTTCCCGCCTATTTTTTCCCTCCATTTGTTTGCTATTTATATCTTGTGTACACGCCTTTTCTATTCAATAAGATCAGATATTTTCATCTCCTATATTCTCTCTGTTTTGCAATATGGTATGAGAGCATATACTTCATCTTCTTCATTAAGCATCGATGGCAGATTTTTCAGTTCTGAATCAACCTATTCAGAATTCGTCTTCATCAATGAGTCAATCAGCCATTGATGATGTCTCTAGTGCTTATTATCTTCATCACTCAGACAATCCAGGTCTGATTCTGGTTTCTCAGCCTCTGACAGGAGAAAACTATTCTTCATGGAGTCGAGCCATGACTATAGCACTCTCAGTGAAAAATAAACTGGGATTCATCAATGGATCTGTGATTAAACCTGAAGAAAATTCAGATCTTCTCAGCTCTTGGATTAGAAATAACAATATTGTCATTTCGTGGATCCTCAATTCAGTTTCGAAGGACATCTCAGCGAGCATCATTTACTCAGAATCTGCTCAAGAGATCTGGCTTGATTTGAAGGAACGATTCCAGCAGAGGAACGGTCCTCGAATTTTTCAATTGCGAAGGGATCTAATGAATCATGTACAAGGTCAACTGTCTGTTAATGCATATTTTACTAAGCTGAAAACTATTTGGGAAGAGCTTAGTAATTATCGCCCAACATGCTCGTGTGGTAAATGCAACTGTGGAGGAAATAAGAAACTAGCAGAACACTATCACATGGAGTATGTAATGTCATTTTTGATGGGATTAAATGATTCGTATGCTCAAGTTAGAGGTCAATTGTTGCTTATGGATCCTATTCCACCAATCAACAAAGTTTTTTCATTAATAACTCAAGAGGAGCATCAAAGATCTGTAAATGTTACCACAGCTGCTGGTGATTCTATGGCCTTTTTTTGCTAAGAATGATGTTAAAAGGACTAATATGGGGTATTCCTATGGCCGCTATCAGAAGAAAGAAAGGCCTATTTGTACTTATTGTGGAGGCATAGGTCATGTGGTTGATAGGTGCTACAAACTTCATGGATTTCCACCAGGATTCAAATCAAAGCCGAAGTCACACTCAGCTAATCAGATTGAATCCAGTGAAAGCAATCAGACAGGTTATAATGTTCATTCTAATAATGCCATTGCTAATCAAGTTTCTAATTCTGTTCCAGATAAAGCTGTTGGAAATGTTGGAAGCTTTGTGCAAAAATTGAATCCTGATCAATACCAACATTTGATGAATTTGCTGAGTACACATCTCTCAGATGCTAAAACACAGGATGAGGGGACTAATTCTGGACATGAGTCAGGTACTTGTCTCACTATTTCCATTAATCAAGTTATCAGTTCTCCTACACACTGGGTATTAGATTCAGGGGCCACCAGTCATGTTTGTTCCAACTATGGATCTTTTCAAACGTTGAAGACTGTGAGTAATGTTTTTATCACATTACCTAATCACGTCAGAATACCAGTGCGATTGATTGGATCAGTAAAGTTAACTGTAGAATTGATCCTTCAGGATGTATTATATGTACCATTTAAGTTCAACCTCTTATCCATCAGTTAGAATTGATCCTTCAGGATGTATTATATGTACCACAATTTTAGTTCTACCTCTTATCCATCAGTTCTCTAATGCGGAGTTCCAACATCAATGTTAGTTTTTTCACTGATTACTGTCATCTTCAGGACACTTGCAGCTCGAAGATGATTGGTAGAGCTAAGAGAGTTGGTGGTCTTTATATACTTGATGCAATTAATGTAGTAAGCAATGGCATGGCTGATGAATGTATTTTTTCTGAAGGTGTCTGTAATCCTGTTTTTTCTGTTATGAATAATGTGCCTCAACATGCTTGGCACAATCGTCTTGGTCATCTATCTTTTCGAAGACTGGAAGTTTTGAGAGATAAACTTCATTTTAAGAAAGATAAATGTAGTTCAATATGTTACATTTGTCCATTGGCTATGCAACGACGATTATCTTTTATATCAAACAATCATCTGTCTTCGAATCCCTTTGATCTTATTCACTGTGATACTTGGGGTCCATATAGCTCCCCAACACGTGATGGTTACAGATTTTTTCTTACCCTAGTTGATGATTGCACGAGGTTTACATGGGTTTATCTAATGAGGAACAAATCTGATGTTCATACTATCGTTCCAAAGTTTTTTAGCCTTATTGAGACACAATTCAACAAAGTCATTAAGGTTTTCAGGTCTGACAATGCTCCTGAGTTGCATTTCAAAGAATTTTTTGATTCAAAGGGTGTGCTTCACCAGTTTTCTTGTGTTGGTTGTCCTGAGCAAAATTCAGTTGTTGAACGAAAACATCAGCATCTTCTTAATGTAGCTAGAGCATTGTTTTTTCAAGCTCAGGTCCCTATATCTTTTTGGGGTGATTGCATTCTTACTGCTACTTTCTTAATCAATTGTATTCCTTCTCCAATTTTGCAAAATAAAACTCCGTTCACTTTGCTTTACAATTCCCCTGTCGATTATAAATTTCTTAGGGTGTTTGGGACTCTTTGTTTCGCCTCAACTCTTGCTTCTCATCGCCTAAAATTTCACCCACGGGCTAAGGCCTGTGTCTTCATTGGATATCACCCTGGCATTAAAGGGTATCGTTTGTATGATATAGTGTCTAAATCCATTTTCATTTCTCGAGATGTCATCTTCCATGAAGATATTTTCCCCTTTCATTCTATATCTAAAACCTCTGATTTTGTTGATCATTTTCCTCACATTGTTCTTCCAAAACCTGCCTCTGATATATCATCAGATCTTCCAGTCATTAACAATCTTCCTCAAAGTTCCAGTCCATCTATTACATCAGATCATTTTACTGATCTATCTCCTCCGATTCATCATAGCCCTTCATCTCCTATTGATACTACTTCTCCTGCTGATATTCCTACCAGCCCAACACTCAGGAGGTCTCTTCGACAGAATAAACCTCCTTCATATTTACAAGACTTCCATTGTAACCCCTTATCCCATAACATTTCTCAGCCTGATAACTCTTCACTTCCTTATCCCATAAGTAATTACATTACTTATGATAAATTTTTTGATTCTCATACTCATTTTCTTCTCAATGTCTCCTCCAATTTAGAACCTCAACATTATAATCAGGCAGTGCATCACAATCAATGGAAGGATGCTATGGCTGCTGAATTGGCTGCTATGGAACAGAACAATACTTGGACTGTCGTTCATCTACCTAAGGGAAAGCATTCGATTGGCTGCAAATGGGTATATAAAATTAAGTATAAGTCTGATGGTTCTGTTGACCGGTACAAAGCCCGGTTAGTAGCAAAGGGGTATACCCAACATGAGGGCCTTGATTTTTTGGAAACCTACTCTCCTGTTGCCAAATTGGTTACTGTGAAACTATTATTGGCTGTTGCAGCTATCAATCAGTGGCATATTGTTCAATTAGACGTTAATAACACATTTCTTCATGGCGATTTGTTTGAAGAAATTTACATGGATCTACCATTAGGCTATCTACCTTCTCATTCTTCCCACCAACAGGGAGAGAGTTTGGTTTGCAAGTTACGAAAGTCGATTTATGGATTGAAGCAGGCTTCGAGATAATGGTTCTCGAAGTTTTCAAATGCTCTTTTACTTCATGGTTTTAGCCAATCAAAGTCAGATTACTCTTTGTTTGTCAAAGGTTCTGGAGCAGATTTTGTTGCTTTACTTGTTTATGTTGATGACATCGTCATCACTGGATCGAATTTGGTGCTTATCAATGATCTGAAATCATTCTTACACAAACAATTTAAACTGAAGGATCTGGGTAAACTCAAGTATTTTCTTGGATTGGAGATTGCCAGGTCTCATCAAGGCATTGTTCTGTCTCAACGGCATTATGCTCTTCAGCTGCTTGAGGACACTGGGTTTCTTGCTTCTAAGCCTGCGATTTTGCCTATGGATCCCAAAGTTCGACTGAGCTCCTTTGAGGGGGAGTTATTGGAAGATAGTACTTCATATCGCAGACTCATTGGGAGGCTCCTTTACCTTACCATTTCAAGGCCGGACATTACTTTTGCTGTGCACAAGCTTAGTCAATTTGTATCCCAGCCTAGGAAACCTCATTTAACTGTTGTTCATCATCTGCTACAATACATCAAAAATTCTCCAGGTCAAGGACTCTTATTTTCTGCTAATTCTTCCTTACAATTACGGGCATTTGCTGATGCAGACTGGGGATCTTGCTTGGATTCCAGAAAATCAGTTTCTGGCTTTTGTGTGTTCCTTGGAGATTCTTTGGTTTCTTGGAAAGCTAAGAAGCAGAGCACAGTATCCAGATCATCTGCTGAAGCTGAATACCGTGCATTGGCCTCAACTGCTAGTGAGTTAGTGTGGCTTCACCAGTTGCTTCGGGATCTTCATATCGATTCCAAGGTTCCAGCTTTGATATTTTGTGATAACCAAGCTGCTGTCCACATTGCTACAAATCCCATCTTCCATGAACGGACCAAGCATATTGAGATCGACTGCCATTTCATCAGAGACAAGATCAATGATGGTTTCATCAAGTTACTACCTATCAGAACTCATCACCAACTTGCTGACATTTTTACCAAGCCATTACCTGCGAATTCCTTATTTCCTTTGCTCTCCAAGATGGCTGTTATTGATCTCCACCATCCATCTTGAGGGGGAGTATTAAGACCAATAGATAGCTTATAGTTCCAGCTGGCAGGGAATCTTATTTGTTATATTACCAACTGATTTTCCCGCCTATTTTTTCCCTCCATTTGTTTGCTATTTATATCTTGTGTACACGCCTTTTCTATTCAATAAGATCAGATATTTTCATCTCCTATATTCTCTCTGTTTTGCAATATGTTTTTATGTATCTGTAGCTCATTTGTGTTAAATCAAATTTGACCGTTTGTAATGTTGTCGATGATAGGGATTGGCCTGTTGATAAATTGAAAGAAGTGAAAGTAGCAGATGCTTTGAAGCATCCTAATTGGGATATGGGGAAAAAGATAACTGTGGACTCTGCCACCCTCTTCAACAAGGTAATATCGATCAGATGCTTTTTCAACTTGATTCTAACCTTTTAAAGACTTATTCGTAAGGTGGACTCTATAGTAGCAGAACCTTTTAAAGATAACTGTGGACTCATTGACAGAACATCGTTTCGATTCTTGAACTACAAGCAGCACGTCTCCTGTTGGAAAGGGGATATTTTTTGTCAATTTCATATTGACAGGGTTTAGAAGTTATTGAAGCTCACTATCTTTTTGGGGCCGAATATGATAACATTGAGATTGTCATTCATCCCCAGTCGATCATACATTCAATGGTAGAGACAGGTAAATCAACATTAGTCCTCTTTTAAGCTTCCTGATCTCTTGGAAATCGGGACGCATTTACTTCTATTTCTTTTGTGCTCAGTATCATGAATGTGACGATTCTCATCACCTTAATCTTAATCGTTATAGGATTCATCTGTATTGGCCCAGTTGGGATGGCCCAATATGCGTTTGCCGATTTTCTACACTTTATCTTGGCCCTACAAAATTTACTATTCTGAAATTACTTGACCTCGTCTTGATCTTTGCAAGTAAATAACATGCCCCTTTAATGAAAAGCAGATTTGAATTAACTTAATTCTCTATTTCCTTATCTCTTTACTAGAATTGGAAAGATTTTACAATATGATTTTCAACTTATTTTTGGTTCGATAGATTGAGTTTGAATGTGACTATTCAGGTTTGGTTCTCTTACATTTAATGTTGGATTTTGATACCCAATAAATCCGGGCGATGATGTTAAATCAATTTATTGTTGGATTATACTTCATAGGCATCGACCAATGAGTGGAGTGAAATATCGATACCGCAATTATTATGACCAAACCCACGACTTATTTGGGCCATTGGAAGCAATCTAATTAATTAGAGTTACTCATGGCCCGATCCATTACCTTGGAAGGCTTTTAGGTTATTAGCGCACTTGTATTCTACCTATTGGCCTTATTCTCCCTAACCTAAAAGCCCATC